TTAATGGAACATCATTTAATTGCTGCTCATGGGTACTTTGTAGTTATTGGAAACTCTGATCTAAATGATTATTTTAAAAAGATTGCCAAAGGACTCACATTTTAAACTCCTACATAGGATAACAGTGGGACTGTTTTCCCTGGGTTTCTGTGCTGACCAGCCATCATTTCCCAGTTAGAGCGCTCAGGGTAATGCCAATTAGCACATCTACAGAACTACACACGGCTAATTTCTGAGGGTGTTCACCACAAATCCGACTGCAGACCCTCCTCAAAAATTCAGACTGCTTTGGGGTCCCGAGCTGGCAGGCCCATATGGCTAGTAACACTCAGCAAAGGGCTCCTTCATGTTTGTGTCAGGGCACTGATGGCCTTGATGGCCCTGAGCAGCCCCACCTGGGCCCCCACCCACACCTGCTGTCCATGGGCCAGGGGCTCCATTTAGCTCAGCCTTGGGGGCCTCATGTTTCTCCTGAGCTGTGCTGTAGGTGCAATATCATATCTAGCTCTCTTTTTCTGGATGGATTGAGGACCTATGTTGCAGGTAGGTCTGCCACCAGCTCTGTTTCTGGCCTGTCTCTGGGATGGACCTTGGGTTGGTGTAGTAGCCTTGTCTCCAGTCCTGTCCTCATCTCCTGCCGCTCCCTGGCAGTTTTCTCCCTAGCAGTTTGCTCCTGCACACGTGCGCCGGTAGGGACACCAGGTATTGCTGTCCTGAGGAGGAGCCATGGGTAATGTTTTGCCACCTGAAAGAAGGTGAATTAGGGATGCTGTTCTATGTTCTGACCAGTACTTCCCACTTGAATCACAGTAAGTCAAATTTGGGGAAAAAAAAAAAAAAAAAAAATCCACGAAGATCCTAAAACTACTTCTAAAGGTCACTTTTCTGCTCCATACAAGCTGCCAAGTTATGAACTCTGATCCAAGAAACTCTTCCACACAATATCCGCGTGCCTATAAAGCCTTTTAAATCGTCATTAGCATCCCCTTCTCTAAACGGAGATCTGGAGTTTCAAGTGGAAATGCAGGTTTTATTTATAGTCTTGGTACATTTTTTCAGCCACGATACATAAATATATGCAGCAAGAGCCCTGCATTTCAGTTTGTTTACTGAGTGGCATTGCTTTCCCATTCAACTGGAGCAGTGAGTCAGTATTGCTGTGGAGCTCACCCTGTTCTCAGAGGTCCTTTCCAGCCTTTGGGCCAGAAGGCACTTGCCAAGGGTCAGCTGCTTTGGTGTCATATTTTAGGAGATTACTTTGTGTTGCTTTCTTGATAGCATGGAGGGCTCTCCTTCAGATTGCCCTATGCTGCAGTGTGAGCGCAAGCCATTAAAAAAAAAACATGCTGTTGCTGGATCCCGGCAGTTGAAACTCATGACCTAGTTTCCCAAAATCACAAGGTTGGCTCAGAAAATTAGCTATATTTTTTTTTAAATGACTGCATGGTCTTTGCATTAAGTTCTGGTTTGGAGAATTACTAGGGATACTCCAGGTGCAATTTCAAATTTTTCTTCACAATCATAAGGGTGCTTTTTCGTGATAGGAAAGCAGGGGAATAGCTTGCCACTAGCAGATAAGAAAAGCACCAAATATTGTGAGACTGGTTTAAAACCAGTGATACATGGACAGTTAAAAGTTGCCCTTATTGCAGATTTGCTGGTGTTTTTCAGAAATTCTAGATCCCCAGACTCTACATGCCAGCATCAGTTACGTTAGCAGTGCATGAACTGGCGCTGATGTTTTGGGGATCAGCCAGGACTTGCTGTGCAGCTGGAGGCTGTACTAGCAGAGCTGGGGTGCCTTCTTACCCACCGCTCCCTGGGGATGTCCACTTCTCGCTGTTCTCAGCTTTTTGCAGCAAGTCCTGTCTCTAAAAATGCTAAGCTTGTTTACAGACTTGTTCAGGACCCATGGTCCTTTGCAGCTATGGTTCCTGGAACATAGTTACCCGTTGGGATCCCTTCTCCTCGTTTTCCTGCCCGGGTGGCTGTCAACAGGGATGTGGGCTGGAGCAGTTTTATAACCTGATGGAAGCAAAAAAAAAAAAAAAAAAGGACCATGCTCTGGCCAGCTGCTTAGCAGTGCTCTCACCCTGGCCTGTGGGACCCCAGCCCTGCCGCGCTCCCTTTGCCATTCCCAGACCGGTCTTTTCCCCATGTGCAGCCCAGCAGGACTGGGGTGGGAGAGTGAACCGTTCAGCTGGGCTGTGGAGGAACAAGCAGTTTATTATTTGTTGCCATTGGCTACTGATACCAGAGTACCAGTTTTAACTGCAGCTGTAGGGCTGCCCGGAGTATGAAACCAGCATCTCTTAAAGCAATCGGTGGGTTTGTATTTCACCAGAAAATGTTCATAGCGATCTTTTGGGTTCCAGCACTCCCAACATGCCTGTAGCGCCCTTTTTCTAGTGAAGCTTACCCCTGGGAGTTGGGAAAACAGGGCTCTTATCAAAAACTGGAAAAGCAATAATTGGAAGGAATGTTGTATGCACAGATGTGTTGCATTTTACTAAAAAGAAGATTTATTTTTTTTTTTTTTCTGTTGGTGCACCAATCTGTTTTGCTGCAAAGCTTAGCCTTGAAACCAGGGCTCTCGGAGACTGCAGACAGACCATGCCACGGGCTTGGCATGGCTTGGTTGGTTTGCTACCCCAGAGGCATGCTCTGTGGAAGTTACAGATCTGCCTGCGCAGACTTCCTTAACACCAATGTTCACGATTCAAATCTTAAAAAATATACAAGAACAGCCCTCGGGCAGTGATGCCCTGCCTAACGGCCCCACCTAATTTCCCCTCTGAACTACATACTGTGCTATAAGTAGTTCTGGCACATGCTGAAACTAGAAATGTTTCTTTCCCTGAAACCAGACACCAGCAGTGGTTAATTACCACATCCCAAATTGGCAGAGATTAATGCAGCTTCACTGAAGCCAGTGAAGCTTCATGGAATTATTCCTGCCCTCGTTCTGAGTCATTAATAGGTATGGTTCTGGCTATTTTTATGCTCTTCAAATTATTTTGTTAGATTACAAAAGCAATTATCAACTCAAATCTGTTTTTCCTGGTTGGGAAAAAAAAAAAAGGGTTCTCTGTTGCAGTAAATTATTGGGCTGAGTTTTTCTTGTGCTTGTTTTATGTGGACTTAACTCATCAGCAAACTTAGCTGTATGAGAGCTAGCTCTCACAGCCCCAGAAATGGGCATGTATCAAAGTGGGGGCTGTAGCAAATTTTTTTTTCTTTCCATGTATAGAGACAGTATAATAGATATACATATCTGTGTGTATGTATATATACACATAATGCTATATATCCTGCAATATGTATATACATGCATGAAGTAGATGCTCTTGAACAATCTTTGGATGTGTAATTGAAGCAGAAAATCCTGCAGTTAGTATTTTCTTGATGCTTGGAGAAGTGGACCATTGTAGAATTGGCTGCTGTGCCTATATGTGAACTAAACAAAGCTGTGACCTGAGGAATGGAGTGAAAATAGCTGGAGCCAGGACCTAAACAGAGCTAGAGTTCAGACAAGTCACAAAACTAACGAATTAGGGACTGTTTTGGAAGTACTGGTTTTGGATGTTGTCAGAAAAATTGACACGGAATAATGACCAGTAACTTTCCCTGTAAGAAGCACTCACCTAGTAGTGAGTCAGATGCTTTTATTGTAATATTACCTCTATGGACCTCTGCATGGGTTTTACAGCCTGACACTAAAGCTCTCCTAAGCCCGTTTTGACGCAGAGGTCTTGAGCGGGAGCAACTGCTACTGCTGTACTACTGGTGCCTGTATTCCAACCACTATGTGACCTCCAGGAGCAATACTGCTGCTTTCTAGTTGATCTGTCATCATGTGTAGCCATATATGTGCCTTGTACTGTCTTAAAGATTGGTTCCATAGGGACATGGTTAAGACAGAGGATGTGATGGAATACGTGGATGGACTGGATGATCGTAAAGGTCTTTTCCAACCTAAACAATTCTATAATGATTCTATGTCTCCCCTGTTAAGCTTTTGAGCTCTTGAGGATTTTTATTCTGTTTAAAAAAACCAAACAAAACACTTGCCTAGTAGATCAAGAACTAACTGCTTTACAATTAGCCCTATTAAGATCACACCCAGGACATGCAATCTCAATACTCTGGAGTTCAGTGCCAGACAGTATGTATCTGTGTGTGCAAAACAAGTTAAGCAACAAAAGCAGCTTTGTATCAAAATAGTTTATTAAAACCAGTAAGAAACTTCACTGAAGCTTGCTGTCCTCAAGACAGAATTATGGCATTATTGCAGCATTCAACACAATCATGGTCTGCACATAAATATAATACTATACAGCTCCTGTTCACCTTGGCCAAGTTTTGCCCTCAGTCTGGCCTTGTGCAGCCCCGCTGACACAACCCAGCCCCACATACTTTAGTTGCGGAACCCGTTCCTCTGGGAACGGAGTTGTATCCTTTCCTCACTTCACACTGCACAGTGCTGTTACTATCTGGAAGTTGCACAGAAACCCAACGCATCTCTTTGCGGCTACAGGCAGTTGACAGAACCAGTGTGAGCACACCGAGTGACTGATGACAGCAACACTGGTTGATGTTTAGGAAAACTAAATAACAACCAATTACTCAAGTTCCCAGTGCTGTGTAACCATGCAGAGCAGCTTCTGTTTACAAGAAGGAAGCCCTGTCCTGACCTGCTGCATCACCACCTCAGCCGCGACAGAAGGACTCTTGCACTGCACAGCTTGGTCTATCGCTGCAGCACTCGCAGAGAAGCACGTTGCCAGCAGCTGGCTGGCACGCTCCTGCCATCACCTCCGAATGCCCTCCAACAGCGTCACTCTTTGCCATCAGCTTTGCACCAAAGTCAGTATTTGTCCTTGCACTGTGGCAAACAGACTGAGCACTTGGTATCTCAGTCCTTCAGGTCAGGATGCTGCCATGAGCTGTGGCTTGCTTTCTCACTAGCAGAGAGGCTTCTTCTTGCTCTTCTCCATCGCTCATGTCCCCTGTGCTGCTCTGTTGATGGGTGTCGTCTTGCACAGCTCCTGATAGAATTCAGATTCCAAAAAACGTGGGTATGAGTTATTCTCCATTAAGCTGTAAACTCTCTTCTGTGCCGCACTGAAACAGGTATGCGTGGCTTCTTGAATGTTCTGTGCAATCATGTTCTTGGTTTGGAAGTCTATGTTTATCTGAAATACAAGAAAAAGGACAATTATTTCCAAGAACTGAATTCAACTAAGTATAATATACCACAAAACTTCTGAACAGGTACAAAAAGGCAAGACCCTATTACTACAGGGTTAAATAAATGAAATTTCCTTTAAGAAAATTCTTTAATATAAAAAATTCATATATACTATATTTCAGTGCTAAACTCAAATATGTACAGGTGTTAAATGCAGCTGTTGACTTTTCCCAGGTAAGATGAAAACTCTCTGAAATACCGGTTGTGCCATTTTCCAGTTTGGTGAAAAGGCAGTTAGGCTCAGACACAGATAGTAACAGTGAGGTATGTACAATGCAGTTTGACATCTGTATCTTGAAGTGAGTTCAGAGAAATAAAGAAAGACTGTAAGAACTCACAGAACAGGGCACTTATGTTTAAATAGGTTTTCTTTACCTCTTTGGGAGCCTCCTTTTCAATGAAGTCATTGTATATTTTTTTTGCTTTCGATGTCAGCTTCTGGGGCGACTTGGTTTTCTTGAAGTCCTCACAGGCCAGCCAGAACTCAATGTTCTCTTCACAGAACTCCGACTTCAGAAAAGCTCGGAAAGCAGCAAGACCATCT